CTCTCTCTCTCTCTCTCTCTCTCTCTCTCTCTCTCTCTCTCTCTCTCTCTCTCGGAAGCTTTGCCTGTACTGCCTCTGTGTCCTTCTCTGCTCAGTGCTCTCATGCTTCAGGACTGTTCTCGGTGTCTTTACAGTTGGGAGAGATTTTCTTACTCCCTGGGATGGTTTTATCAGAAAAGCCTCTTCTGGCACTTCCCAGCTCTCAATGAAAGATGGTAGCAAGAGTCCAAACAATAGTTCTGCTGCAGACTGGTGTCTTGTTTACTGGGTTTAAATGCAACTATGTGTAACTTGAAGTTTGTAGGGTTCTGTATCTCCTAATTATCCTATTTGTTCTTTTCATTGATTTGTACAGAGAGAATGTGAAGGTTTGTCTGTGTTAGAATTGTGAATGTGAGAAATCACCACTTCGTTGTTTATGATAAACTTTTCATTTCAAATCACCGATCTGTAACCAGTATATGTGTGCTTTTTTATATTCATCTATACATTTTTAGGTCCTGGCACCATGTGTTTAATTTCTGAGAATTATTTCTCACTCTTTCATTGCTCCCTTTTCATAATAGGCTATGTTTTTATTGTGGAGACAAGAAATATCCTTTCCGGTGTTTGGGACTACTAATTAGAAAAAAAGATAAAAGTTCCTCTCTTATTCTTTCATTATTTATTTCTCGGTGATTGTTCTGTTTATTCACCTCAGTCTTTCTGCTTTTGTTCTATTCTTTTGTTTTGTTTTATTCATTTTAGAAGACCGTTGGTTTCCTTTTCATCTTTGTGAATGAGGGGTTATATTTTTTTAATGCGATTGTTTGACCTGGGTTTCCTTTGTAATTGGGTAGGTTTGTTTAACCAAAGTCTTTGCATGTAAATAGGAAGAGATTGCAAACCGGAAGCTGCAACAAGTAGGTCTTATAGATAAATTTCCTTTCATGAAGGACTTTTTGGTTGGGTGTGTGTGTTTTGTTTTGTTTTGTTTTGCTTTGCTTTGTTTTGTTTTGTGAAAGAGAGTCACTCTGTGCCCAGGCCAGCCTCCGACACTGGGCTCTCGTGGTCCTCCTCTGTAGTTGGAACTACAGGTACACACCACAGCACCCAGCCTGGGGTTTTACTCATTATAATAAAGAGTATATCTTTGTCACTTTCCTCCTTGCTGAGAAAAAATATCCGACACCGCAGCTTAAAGGAGAGAGGTGTATTTTGGCTCTCGGTTTAGGAGTTTCAGGCCCCTCGTGGTTGGAAGCTCCCACGCAGAGGTGGCCGCAGCAGGGTCTGGCAGAGGAGGGCTGCTCACCTCCACAGCCCGAAGCAGAGTCAAGAGACGAGCTGGGAAGGGAGATGGAACCTTCCAGGTTACACCCATGACCCGCCTCTCCTGGCCAGACCCCACCCGCTAACGGCAAGCCAGCTATTCCACCCCCATAATCCAGTCACCTTTCAAAAGCCCCATCTTCCAGTGCACAAGGCTGGGGGGATATCCAGGTAAAAACCCTGACAGGGCACTGTGCTCTGGATACAGGGTTCTTTGGTCAATTTTGTGCCTGCAAGGATGTGTGTTTGTTGCTGTTCTTCTGGGTCTTCTGTGGGGTGTGGAGTTTCTGTAAGCTTTGTTCTGCCTTCTGCCGAGCTTCAACACAGGTGCTCTGCAGCAGGAAGAGCTCCATGAGGTTGCAGGTATCTGTTTGCAGGTGGGGAGCAGCAGCTACGCCAGCGGTTCCAAGTGTGGCCCAGAGAATGACGTCACCTGCCAGCTGGTTAACTGTGCAGAATCTCAGTCTTGCCTCGACTTCTTCTTCTTCTTTTTTTTTTTTTGATTGTTTTCAGTTTGAAGTTTACATTGTCTGCAAACATAATAGCTGCACTTTTTTTTTTTTTTTTTTTTTTGTTCCTTTTGCAGGTTTTTTTTTCCTTTTTTTTGAGACAGGGTTTCACTATGCAGTTCAGGCTGGTCTTGAGCTCACTTTGTAGCCCAGGCTGGCCTCGAACTCTCAACAATCCTCCTGCCTCAGCCTCCCCGAGTGCTGGTATTACAGGCATGTGCCACCACACCTGGCCTTTTCACTTCATTTGAATCTGGACCCAGCAAAAAAGTAAAGGGGCTAGGGTGTACAACGCCATTGCTTGCTCTGCGGATTCTTTCTCCTCTTCTTACTAAAGAGGTTTTGAAGTCCCTGAACACACCAAAAGACTTTGCTCACTATCTGTGCTCCAGGAGCACATCTGAATCTTTTCGTTGGTTTGGGAAGGGAATGCCATTATCATGAGGAACAAGGCAGGAGTCACAGCCCTTAGTCCACTCGAAAGGAAATGAAGGCCTTAGTTCTACGGAGAATGTGGGAAGTAACTGGGATGAGGCGCTGATGAAGGTGCAGGGAGGTTCCCAGCAGACACGAAATCAGGAAATGAAGGAATCGGGACTCCATATGCTTTTCACAACAAGAGAGCATGGATTTTGTGGCGTAAATGTCAGCCTCTGAGTCTAAAGACTTCGACCAAATCGTAATTCTGCCTTTCAGGTGTGACTTTGGGTGAATTTCTTTTCTAAGCATCCCCGAGGCTGTTTCCTCCTTTATAAAATGAAAATGTCTTCACAGAGCAGCCATGATTTGTGCGGGCATGTCTCACATCCTAGGGCCTTAGCGTGAGAAAAAAGAGGGATGAAAACAGCCCGTTGTCCCCTGAAGAAACGCATTTCCCCATTCCCTATGCATTTGGCTTAAGCCGAAGTTTTGATGCCTTTCTTGCAAAAGAGAAGATGAAACAAACTCAGAGGAGTGGATACTACTGAGCGTTGTTTAGCAGAAATACCTTATGGGAGGGCTAGCTTCGACTCATTGTCAAGACTTTTCTTTCTGAACTGTGGTGTATAGGGCCGGGGATATAGCTCAGCAGCACAGCGCCTGCCTGGCAAGCGCAAGGTCCTGAGTTCGATTCCCGGTACCAAAAAATAAATAAATAAATAAACATTGAACTGTGTGAGACGCAGCCCTTTATGTACACAGATGTTGCCCAGCGCATCCCACACAGAGTTTACTCAGGTGCAGTGCTCTTGGTCTGGTCTTGGTCTTGGGCTGTATGGAGCTAAGAGGAACATTACTGTGAGGGGCACTCGCCCTCCTTGTGGGGGGAGATCATAGCACTGGAGCTATTCATTGTATAGTCAGAGAGTAGCCTGTGTTTGTCTGCCACGTTACGTTTACTGAGCTTTCCCAGCCCCACCTTGCTTGACAGTCCTGGTAGCTGCCCTAGAACTTCTTCTCAGGGTTATGTGGCAGAAAAAGAGAAAAGAAAGAGGAGAAAAAACAGCGGTAGCATAATATATAGCCGGGCATGGTGGTGCCCGCCTGTAATCCCAGCGCTTGGGAGGCTGAGGCAGGAGCATCGTCTCAAGTTCGGGACCAGCTTGAGCTACAAAGTGAGCTCAAGGTCAGCCTGAACTGCATAGCGAGATCCTGCCTCAAAAAGACAAATAATAATAATTAATAATAATAATAATAATAATATACAGAACAGAGCCACCACACACACAAGCAGAATTGCTGCCAGAGCCTCGGTGTAAGAGAGCTCTGGATTTGAAATCCAGGTTGGTACTGTGGTGTCTGGAAAGGCACTTCTGGTAGCTTCTATTTCTCCATCTTTAACATGGAGACACATCGATGTCATAAGTCTAAGTGAGATAAACGATAATTCTGACAAATCATGGCAGCTCCATAAAGAGTAGATAGATTTCCTAAAATAGTTGTTTCTGCTGTGAGTGACCAGTTTGGTTTAAACTTTAAACCTTTTCCACACCTTGTTTAACCTTTTGGTTTTATCTTCTCAGACAGGATCTCACTGCCCCTGCGCAGGCTGGGCCTCGACTTGTGATGCAGGCGTGTGTCCCACCTGGCTTTCATCCTTCGGGTTTTTAAACTGAGCTCTGATTTACATAAAATATACAAATTTGCACACACATGCACACACACCCCTATTTAATCTTCACATCAACCTTATTTTTTAATTTTTAAAATTTTTATTGAGACCTATTTACAATACATAATAATTACATTCATTGTGGTATTTTATTATTTCTGCTTTACAAACAGAGTCTAGGAAACTATAGGGGTTAAGTAGCTCCCTCCTTCTCAAAGGGGAAAAAAAAACCACAGTATATATAAGTGGTAGGATTCAGAATTCAAATCTAGTCAGGTTGGTTTCAGAATCAGGGCTTTTAACCACTTCCCTGTTGGCGATAGTACTCTAATTTTACAGAGGAGGAAATGCATTTGAGAAAGGTCAGGCGATCGTTCCAATGTCCCATTGCCAGAACGTAGCAGCACTAGGGGGTGAGCTAGGCCCCAAAGTCTCACTCTGACGCCTCTATCACACCCATCCACCAGAGGAGACGAGGAAAGTGGTTTCACTTTCAGGACTTTAGTTTCAAAAGATCTTGCGAGAGTGTTGTGGGGTCCTGATGAAGACGGTGTCTTCTCACACATGACTCTCTTGGCCTGTTCCTGGCCTCCTCCAGAAGGGGCTCTTTCCCCATTGGCCTGCGCCGTTTCTGAACCCCTCTAAGACTGACTCCTAGGAAGGGCGTTGATAGCTCTGCGGATATTCCCTTGGGGAGGGGAAAGAGGGCAGAGCTCAGACTTGAGGTCCTCGAGTGTCCCCTGGCTACTTGGAGACACCAAGTGCGCAGCGGCCCGTACGCCTTCCTTCCGACCCAGGCACGTGTGCTTCTGCGGTGCTCCATGCATTTGTCAGCCGGAAACAGAGTCCCGGAGCGGGCCTGGGAGACACAGCGCTGCCCTGTCGAGGCTGTCGGCTGGGTGGGAGAGGGGGTTGGTGCCCGTGTGGGGAAATCTGCCCGGGCCTTGCCAGTGCCGAGCAGAAGCGTCACACAGGAGCCCGGAGCGTGGAGGAGGCCGGAGGGCACAGTCTGTGGTCAGAGCCAGGCCAAACCTGGGGGTCTCACCTGACCTCTGACAATGACTCCCTTTGCAGTGTGGAGGCTGCCAGCATTGGATTTGTCATCGTCATCGACAGACGAAGGGACAAGTGGAGCTCCATAAAGGCATCCTTGATGCGAATAGCTGTAAGTATTTTGTGCTACTGTAATCAAAATCATTTGAATGGTCCGTCCAACTTTTTCCTATCAAAGTTTTGCGGAAAAAGCGATTATCTCACGTTAACTTTTGAAGCGATCTCTGTAGCAGGTGCTGTTACATCATGTTCATGTCCCCTCTACCACCCGAGGGCATCCTGCTGGCAGCACCTGAGCGGGTCAGGGCTCCCCGCATCTCTACCTTACTGACTTCTCTGGCCACAGAAGGGGGCAGGCAGGGAGGGACTGGACGTCAGTGCCCAAGAGTAACCCGCAGCCACTAGGGGTTGGTGCGTACACACATCAGCCTCCACACCCCTCACTGGGGCAGTGCTGAGGCATCAGGCACAAAATCTCAGGGGGCCCCACCCCCTCGTGCCTGCAGCAGTCACCCCTCACTCCCAATGTCCTGGCTCTGGCTCTCTGTCTGTCTACCTCTCCACTTTCTGTCAGGTTGCTGGGAAGCTTGTCCCCAACAAACTGCTCCTACCCAAGTCCTCATCTGAATGTTTGCTTTGGGGACAACCTGATTTAATATGGTCCTTATTTCAGCATCCAAGTAACTTTTTCACATGTTAGAAAGTCAATGGCAAAGTCAGACAAAATATTATCTAAGTAGGTTTGTGGGAGGCAGGCACTCCAAGACAGGGCCAGGGATGCCATATTCTTGCCTAAGCGCGGGCTCTCGTGAAGTGAGCACTAGCTGAAGAGGATGGGAATAGAAGGGTGGGAATGTGGTGTAGGAGCTAGGACAGGGGTGGGGGCACTTGGAGCCCCACTCTGCCCTCTGACAGAAGCAGCTGTGCTTTCCCACGTGCACACCCCAGCTGTTCTCAGAGCGGGTGAGAGCTTGTTCAGGTGCAGAGTGCCTCAGCTGACTCGCTCTGTCACAGCACAATCAAAGGGTCTTTTCTTTAGGAGTCTGCATTTTGAAGAAGGGAAGGGACACTGCTTCCCTTGGCTATGTGGATTTTGTCCTTTTAGTTTAGTTTGGGGTATAGGACTTTGAGATAACTATACCCAACTTACAGCTGGATGTTATGTAGTCTGCAAGTTCAGGGCCAGCCTGGGCTACATAGTGAGACCCTGTCTCAAAGAATGGAAAGGGAAGGAAGGGAAGGGAAGGGAAGGGGAGGGGAGGGGAGAGGAGGGGGAAAAGGAAAAAGGAAAGAAAGGAAGGAAAGGAAAGGGAAAGAAAGAAAGAAAGAAAGAAAGAAAGAAAGAAAGAAAGAAAGAAAGAAAGAAAGAAAGAAGAAAGGAAAAGAAAGAAAAAGTCTGCTTATTGATTTGATTTTTAAGGAGGGGCTTGAGTTATCTGAACTATGAAGTCTCTTTCTGCTCTGAAATTCTGTGAACTCTATTCTAAGTCTTTGGCACGCATGGCACCCACCTTAACTTTTTCGCTTGTGATTTTGGGCAAGAAGAGAGCAGAGCAGACGTTATCTCTCTCCCTTGATACCTTTCATGCTGCCTGCAGGTGGCATTTCCGGGAAACCTGCAGCTCATTTTCATTCTCCGTCCGACTCGTTTCCTCCAGAGGACGTTCATGGACCTTGGCATCAAGCACTATCGAGATGAATTCAGAATGAAGGTGCCGGTAAGCGCAGCTCCGCTGTCTCTGCCTGGGTGGGCTTGTGGGGATGCCGCGTGAGTGGGGTCTGGAGAGGCGGCTCAGCAGGGGCAAGGACAGGAGGGCATCTGGGCAGAAGCATGGGCGTGGACACGCAGCTTCCTATGGGCCTATGGGAGCCTCATTTTTGTTGGGGTGCCCAATCATTTGGAAGAAAAAACAGGGAAACATGGAGTAGGTCTTGGGTAGGAGGACAAAGTGTATGGGTTTTACTCGATGGGCACTGCGGACTCAGCGGGGAGTGACATGGTAAAGCGGTACTGGTGCTATTTCAGTCTGAGGGTCGCGTCTCTGGCTGTAGAGAGAGTGGAGGAGGAAGATTAAATGCACAGGTGAAAGAAAGCATGGCTCTAAAACATGAGCATGACATAAAAAAAAAAAACTGTAGGGCAAAAGAATCATAGTGTGCTGTTCATAAGAAAAAGACAAAATAAAACTAAAACATTCAAAATGGTACCTGTAATTTTGGCAAGCAGAGATGAGGAAACAAACACTCTCATACTTAGCTGGTGGGAGTGGAGTTGGTAGTGACTGATATGGGAGACTAATTGTCACTATTTACAGACAATTGAATACGCATGCTCTGACCTACCTGGGAAAGTTATCCCACAGATATTCTTGAAAGTGTGCACAGAGCTGTGCAAACAGTGATATTCGTTATCAAGTTGCGAGCAAAAGCAGAAGATTGGGAGTAACTTGATGCCTGACGGTTGGTTCATTATGGTCGATCAGTGCAATTCTGTGTAGTGGTTCAAAGTGGTGAGATACGGTACGGCCACACTGGAAATCATCAGCAGTGCCTTATAAAGTAAACTCACACGGAGACTGTGATTCAGCCAAGAAATTAAAAGAGGTCTACACACACACACACACACACACACACACACGCACGCACACGCACAGAGACAAATATCAACAGGTAGGTAGAAAAGGAAGCTGTCCTCTTTGAAGCAGTAAAAAGCAGTGAAGCACTGATACCTGCAAAAGCATCGATGTGTCTCAGAAATATTCTCTCGAGAGACAGAAGCTAGACACTAAAAAATATACCAAACTGGACATGGTGCCGCACACCTGTAATCTCAACACTCTGGAGGTTGAGGCTGGGGGATCACTGTGAGTTTGAGGCCAGCCTGGGCTGCATAGTGATTTCAAGGCCAGCCTGCACTGCATAGCGAGACCCTGCTTCAAAAAAAAACAAACAAACAAACAAAAAGAATATACCTTTATGGCTCCTTTTATAAAAAGGTCAAGAATAGGCAAAACTAAGCTATGCTGATAAAAAATCAAAGCAATGGCTTCTGTTAGGAGTGAAGGGTGGTGGGGACCGAGTGGGAAGAGGCACAGGGACAGCCTGGGGGAAATGATCCTATATCTGATTGGGTGCTGGTGCGCATGTGTGTACCTTTAGCAGAACTACCTGAACTATATTCTTAAAAGGTATGCGTCTTAGCAATGTAAATTAGATCCCAAGTGAAAATGAAAAATAGAAAAAATGGATAATTCTAAAGTGATGCAGAGTAGAAGCAGCTAGGATGTAGCTCAGTGGTAGAGCACTTGCCTAGCATATGTGAGGGCCTGAGGCCCAGCAGTGTCCCCTTAAACATATTTATATACATGTATGGCATTTTGCAGTACTGGGGACTGAACTCAGTTCCCAGGTACCTGGCAGGTACCTTGCACTGAGGTACCTGACAGCCCTTTTTTTTTTTTTTTAATTTTGACACAGGGTCTCAATAAGTTGCCAAATTGCCCAGGCTCAGCTCCATGCTGTGATCCCCCTGCCCCAACCTGCCATGCTGGGCTTGCGGGAATGTGCCACCCTGCCCTACGCAGTCATACCTTGGTTCACGAACTTCATTTCTTCTGTGATTCTGGAGAGGATGGCTGCATTCCTGTTGTGTGGGGAAGATGGCCAAGGTCATGCTCATCACCCCATGCGGAGTTCACAAACAGAAGCAAAATTTTGCCGAACCGGGGTATTACTGTATTTGGGTTTTAAAATGTTTACCTGAAATAATTTGAAACTCAGAGAAATGTTGCAAGAATGAAAATAGTCAAAGAATATCACAAGTCCTTTGTGCAAATCCACTCACCTATGGTTAGCATTTTGCCCCTTCCCTGGTTTATCTATGTGTCATGTTTATAGCATGCATACATGTATGTATGCACATGTACATGAATATTAGTATCATAAAAGATAAAGAAAGACTATGGGAATGTTTCAGGTTAAAGGAGACGAAAAAGAAAGTAATGTGTTTTATGACATTAAAATATTTGATGAACGCAGTCCCCTGAAAAAAATAAAGCAGACCTCGTTTGGGGCTCGTGTAACGTTTCCCATGATCCAGTTCAGGTTGCACAATCCTAGCAGTGGTTTGTGTCCTTGTCCGGGCATGACCGGGCCCACCGTGCTCACCTACCCCTCACTGCTGTAGTTAATTTTGAACCTCTACTTAGGGTATTGTTCAGTTTCCCAAATGTATTGTTTCCCCTGCAACTACTGCAGTCATGGATCTCTGGAGAAACACTTTAAGATGATGCAAACATTCTACTCATAAAAAAAAAAATCCCTCTCTTTGCTGTTAATTGATGACTCCTGCCTGAAGCAGTCTTTATTACGTGGATGGCAGAATATTGATTTCCAGCCTCGGCACTCCCTCAGTGTTACTAATCAGAAGTTGGTATTCTACTGAAAGCTAGTGCATAGATTGTCACTGTCGATTTTTATTTTTTTAATGTTTCATAATTTATTATAATCCTTAATTATTTTGGCGCACACACTGTCCCAGAGTGGGCAGTGGGGGCCTTCAAGCCAGCCCTCGCATCCATGCAATTTCTTAGCTCTTCCTTGCTTTCTTCCTAATGTGATGATCTAAACTCGCTTTGTCCACACCCGGATCCACCCTTGTACTTAGCTGTTTAGCTCAGTGCTTCTGGCTGGCTCCTTTAGGTGTTGTATGGTATTACGGCCCAAGATCTAGCTGCAGAATTTCTTTCCCACCTAGATGTCTTTGCTTTTAGGCCCTTTCAACAATAGAAGCTGTGAATATGTGCACATATATCAGCACATGTTTGTAATTATGTGCACACATTATGTGTGTGTGTATGTGTGTGTATATATGTGTGTGTGTATATATATATATATATATATATATATATATATATATATATATATAGTAGTATATCTTATTGATCTCTTGTATCCTGGAGAGAAATGGTGGTGGGTATGAGAAAATAAAAACAAGAGACAAGAGCTGGGGTCAGGTGGAGTTACCTCTTGCCTGATGAATAGGAGGACTGACTTCAACAGTAGGGGCCTTTATTTTACACATTTGTAAAGTTAGTATCATGGGGGGGTAATGTTGCATAGTGACTAATGACTGTAATTGTCCAGCAGGATGCCTTTTTCAATACTGAGGTAGCTTGACTGCTTGGCCAATACCCAGCTCCAGTGGCTCCCAACATATCTCCCTTTTCTGTTTAGTTGCAGAAGTGATGGGTGTTCAATTGAAGCTAGAAAAGTTGTGCTTGATCAATATAGTCCAAAGTCCATAACAGCGTTCTGTTATCAGTCTAGCTGGCAATTGTCAGAAGTTGCTGGTGACCTGAATCTATTACTGTGGCATCATTTCTTTACATCTTGTTGGATGTTCAAGACCAAGTTAAAGTGAGACCTGTATAAATAAAAATGTAACCTTTTGCCGTCTATCAGGGTCAGTTAAGCCTCCTCAGGAATCATCTTGGAACCAAGTACAGCACCTCTAGATCGTCTGTCAGCGCCAGCCATCTGGATGAGTCATGGCCATTGCTTGACCAAGGTGCTTTCTGTGAAAGCCTGAGAGATTTTTCCTCTCCCGGTGACTCTCCTTAGGCACACTATATATCGCAGAATCACTTTCCTCTGTGGTCCCATAATCTCCTTGATCAGAAAATCAGGGACTCAACCGAGTTATAGGACATCACAGAACAGGTTCTCTTATGTCCTCAGTCTTCACTGACCTGACAAGGCATGGCCAAAATATTGGCAGTCCTCTTAGCCCAATTTATCTCTCTAATTTTTGGTCTCCAAACCTCAGTTGTTAAACATCCAGCAGAGAAGATTAATGACATAACATTGTAATGGAGGCAATAAGCTTATTATTACAATCTGATCTGAATAGCACACACCTTAGAACATACAAATGGAACCATTATTTTTTAACAACCATGGATATCCTAATATTTAAATCCTAATAGAATGTTAACAAACAACAATTACATATTTTTACCCAGAAATTTAGAAATCAAAGCTATACATAACATTACTACATGACAATCATGACATTTTGTAACATACTTAGATTTTCATTATAACATGACCTTTTTTAACCAATCATCTCTGTCCAATGAAGAATTTATGTAATTTGTTGTCCTTTAATGGTTTATACATCACAAGTTTTTGTTAAAGGCAGAGGTCTGAATCTGAAGGAAAGTCTTATCACACTAAATAATCTTTGTTTTGCATTTTGGAAGACCTATAGATCTGGAATCATGAGCACATTTAATACACCATGAGATGAATACTAATGCATTACTATACACATGTAAAAACATTTGTTAAAATTTAGTTTTTGTACCAAGAATATCTTTTATGAGAAAACCTTATTGTAATTTTTACTGAAAAACTGTCTTTTGACCAAATGACCCCATTAGTGGGGTGTCTCCCAAGAGACTATGGAGATCATTGGGGGCTCCTTATTAATGAATAAAGGTTGGCCACTACTCTATTCACCAATTTGAGTTCTACCCAATAATTTCTCCTCCTAAGGACTGTATTTAAATATCTTAATTTTGATATCATAAAAATCAGCTGGTAACTCAGGTGAAAGCATGATTTTAAATCTATAACCCAATTGTATTATAAACAAATGATCAAAGAAAAATTGTAGAGCTCAAAATAAAGGGGAACAGTTGTTCACTGAATGACA